GCTCCGCCCCCCGGACCCCACCAAGGGCCCTAAGGCGGGGCCCTGGATGCTCATCTGACCGTAATTAAATGCCTAAAACCCCAGAGCTTACGGGGGCTTCACCCCGGATCCAACCAAGGGCCCTAAGGCGGTCCCCTGTTTGCTCATCTGACCATTATTAAATACCTTTTTTAAAAAAGAGCTTTCAGGGGCTCTGCTCCCTGGGCTCTCCGCCAATTAGTGGCCTGCCAGTGTCACAAATAAGGTATCTAAATATGCTTATCTGACCATTATTTTAATGCCTAAAACCCCTGAGCTTCTGGGGGCTCAGCCGCTTGACCCCCTTCCGGGGCTCAGGCCCTGGACCCCACGCCAATTTAAGCTCTACCTGATCGTTAATAATCCACTTTGAAATACGTTCCGCGGGGCCTGCATGTAACGTGTAAGAGTGGTGGTGATACAGATTTTCTCCCCCCCCCCCCTTCCAAACGTTTTTGCTCGTTACGTCACTCTCCCTGGAAGGTGAGCCCCTGGAATGTTTGCCCCCCCCCCCCCCAATCCCAAACTGCTCCTGGCGCGCCTGTTTGTATGCATCTTATTTAATGTACTTAACAGTGTATAATTAATGTATAACGAAGAAATATTTTTTACTTTATGTATATGATTATGTTCTATTTTGAAAACGTAGGGATAAAAACAAAATAAACAAAAAAGACTGATCTGATACATTTTGATATTAGAGTGAACATGTTTCGTCTTTATTAACAATGACGAGGGTCAAAGTACACTGTTGGTCATAATGATGGAATAATTATTTTTATCCCAATTTATGGAATGATTTTGGAAAAATTCCTCTGTAGGGCCATGCATTATGGTTCAAGGCATGCCCACATAGAAGATTTTGTTATGTTAGGGGTCGGGGCAAAATGCGATGAATTATTTAAAATTTATTGCATTTTATTTGTTATTTTGTTTTTGTGGGGGCGTCGACGTCCCCTAGTGCCCGCTGCGTACAGTCATGATTCATTGGCTAAGCAAAGGCCTCATTACTGTGATCCCCCAGGATCAAAATCGTGTCGATGTGCTATATTAGCGCCCTTTTATGAGCAATTAATCCCCATTACTGTCAGTTATGACTTAAAACGTAGGTCCCCTAGTTGATTAGCATAGTAGTACACACATGCTTTAGCAATCACGCAAAACAAACACTCCCAAATTGTCATTCAATAAAATCTGAGAATGTATGCTATTATCTAGATCTATTAGGAATAAATTTTTGTCAAAATCATTCAATAAATTGGGGTAAAAATAATTATTCCACCATTATGACCAACAGTGTACAACCTGCAAAGGTTACAGATAAAGGCGTTATCAAGGAGAAAGGTCAAGTGGCCCACTATCCAGTCGTAATTTTAAAATAGTTCATGTACCGTAGGGTTGCATTGTTTTAAGATTTTATTCAACGAAAAAAAAACTCTATCTGACACTCCTACACATCCTCTTGTTCACTCCAGTTCAGAAGAGCAAACACTAGAACGCCCTCTCCCCTGCCTCACATATTCTCTAACTGCGTATGGATGAAGGCTCATAATTGTTAATATTGATATTCATATACATCTGTAGCTGAATAAGTTGATCGAGGAAGAAGAATGTGAAAGCAAAATGGCCTCATTGTTTATAGGTATAATACCTCTGACATTTTCACCACTAGCATTGTTAACTCCAACATTAATACCGCTGACATCTTTACCCGGCACCAATTTTCGACCAATCTTTTATCGTTCCTTAAGGGGGTAAAATGTGAAATTACCTACCAAAAATTGTGAAACCAGTACGTGATTATGAAGTCTAAAATTGGTAGGTTTTAGGGGAAAGTAAGACGTCCGATAGAAAGGTAGGGAGAGATGGAAGGTTTATAAGGTGACGGATGGGAGAGGAAGGTGAGTAGAGATGGAAGGGGTGTGGTAAAACCTTGATAGAGTACGGAATGCATTGGGCCCGCCTTACGGCCCCTGACGGGGTTGAGGGGGCGGAGCCCCGGAAACCTAGGAGTTTTAGGCATTTAATTACGGTCAGATTAACATATTTTTATACCATTTTTGTGACACTAGCAGGACACTAATTGGCGTGAAGTCAAGGGGGCCGAGACCAGCACAGGGGTTTTAAGCATTCAATTACCGTCAGATTAGGATCCAGCCGTCCGCCCTAGGGCCCGAGGTGGGGTCCAGGGGGCAGAGCCACCGGAAATCAAGGGGTTTTAGGCATTTAATTACGGTCAGATGAGCATCCAGGTGCCTGACTTTGGGCCCTAGGTGCAATCCAGGGGACAGGGCCCCCAGGAGCTCAGAGGTTCTAAGGCATTTAATCACGGTCATATGAGCAATTTTTTTTTTTTTTTTGGGGGGGGGGGGCGGAAATTGGAAAATTACGTCGTCAGATATTTCGTTCAGTGGCTTGGGGGGGGGGGGTGGGGGAGGAAAAGTTTTTTGTTTGTTATTGCTTTCTTTAGCACCATATATATATATATATATATATATATTCCCTTTTTTTCCCTTTTTTTGCCAGGGGGGGGGGGGCCCGGGCCCCCTGGATCCACCACTGGAGGTGTGGCAGGCTATGAAGGAAGAGTTTGTAATTTACATAATAAGTGAGTTGATTGATTAACTAAATAAACTGCTGTGTCACTTGCTACATTCTAAACTAAGAGTAATTGGTAGATTTTAGGGGAAAGTAAGACGTCCGATAGAAAGGTAGGGAGAGATGGAAGGTTTATAAGGTGACGGATGGGAGAGGAAGATGAGTAGAGATGGAAGGGGTGTGGTAAAACCTTGATAGAGTACGGAAGATAAGATTGAGGTTGACAGAGATGAGAGTGGTGAGATGGAGAGGGCGAAGGGATTGGGGTGATATACAGAAGAAAGGACACACAGAGAGAGGGAGATAGAGGGAGAGAGAGAGAGAGAGAGAGAGAGAGAGAGAGTGGAGGGAGGGAGAGAGAGAGAGAGAGAGAGAGAGAGAGAGAGAGAGAGAGAGAGAGATAGGGGTGGAGTGGGGAGACGAGACAGAAAGGAGAGAAAGAGAAACGACGAAAGGCAGAGGTGTGCAGGCGCAGATCCAGGATTTCTTGGGGGAGGGAGCCCAAATTCGAAATTATGCGAGCCAAATATTGGTATGTAATGGTGACACCGGCAGTGGCAAAAACGTTGGGGGAGGAGGGGGGGGGGGGAGATAGACGAAAAATCCCCATCAACCCGCTCTTACATGCAGGCAACGCTGAACGTTTCTCCGCGGGGTCAAGGGGTGGAGCCCCCAGAAGCTCAGGGGGGATAGGCATTTAATTACTGTCTGGTGAGCATATTTTGATACCTTATTTGTGACACTGGCAGGACACAAATTGTTGTTGGGTCCAGGGGCGGATTCCCCAGAAGCTCAGGGGTCTTATACATTAAATTAACGTCAGATGAGCATATTTTTATTCCTTATTTGTGACACTGGCAGGTCACAAATTCGCCTGGGGTCCATGGGGCGGAGCCCCAGGAAGCTCAGGGGTTTCGGGCAATAAATTACGGTCAAATGAGCATATTTTGATACTTTATATGTGACACTGGCAGGACACAAATTGTTGTTGGGTCCAGGGGGCGAAGCCCCAGAAGCTCAGGGGTTTGTGTCAATAAATTACAGTCGGATAAGCATAATTATACCATAATTTGTGACACTGGGAGGTCACTAATTGGCGTGGGGTCTAGGGGGCGGAGCCCCCAGTAGCTAAGAGGTTTAAGGCATTTAAAACGGTCAGCCAAGCTAATTTACATAATAAGTGAGTTGATTGATTAACTAAATAAACCGCTGTGTCACTTGCTACATTCTAAACTAAGAGTAACTCCAAACTCCAAAGTCAGTTGACAGTAGATCATTAAATCGGTATTCGATTCCCTGCCACAGTCTTAACGTTCCTTGGCAAGGCATCAATCTGCCAAGGTTTGTTAACCTCTATGTCAGACACTCAGAGGTAAAGGATGGCAAGGATAAAAATGTCGAAGGTTCAAATGTCGGAGGTTAAAATGTCAGAGGTAAAAATGTCAGAGATAATAATTTCAGAGATAAATATGCCTGAGGTTAACAACAAAGAAGGGGTGGGGCACCCAGATTTAAGCAGGCTTTTTTGTTCTAAAATATAAGACCTGAACAGCCCTAAGGAATGCGTTGGAATTGAATATTGGAGGAGTTTTAGAAAATGTTATTTGTTTTATTTGATATAACAATTGCCTTCATTAGTGTTTGATATTTTTAACTGAAAAGAATAACGGTTTTCATTAAACTTCAATCAAAACTAGGTCCCCATTATTTTTGTTAATGTCACATGTGATAAAATGTTATCATATGGACTAAAATATCACTCCGCCGGGAAAACCACAGGTATGCGCGTTTTGACTGACGTTGCTGACATTAAGCGACACATACATGCACGCGTATCGTTAATGCCTCTTCCACACAACAGCCAGTAGTCTACTGAAGTCGATTTTTTTTTTAATTATAAAAAATGATGCTTAATTTTTGGGGTACTTTTCAGTAATTAATCAGGCTAGGATTTACGGAGAAAGCTCAGAGTGTTGACAGCCCCCCCCCCCCCCCCTCCCCAAGCCTCCCGCAAAATGACTGATCTGATACATTTTGATATTAGAGTATACGTGTTTTGTCTTCATTAACAATGACGAGGGTCAAAGTACAACCTGCAAAAGTTACAGATAAAGGGGTTATCAAGGAGAAAGGTCAAGTGGCCCACTAGCCAGTCGTAAAAGACGTTTTCTTGTTAATTTCTGTACCGTAGGGTTACATTGTTAAAAAAAACTCCACCTGACACTCCCACACATCATTTTGGTCGCTCCAGTTCAGGACAGCAATCACTAGAACGCCCTCTCCCCCGCCTCACAAAGGGAGAGAGAGAGAGAGAGAGAGAGAGAGAGAGAGAGGGGGGGGGGGGAGAAATGAGAGGGGTAGAGAGATGGGAGGAGTATGGTAGAAGAACGATAGGATTCGGAAGGGTAAGTAGGGTGTGAGAGATCGTATAATTTTTACACAGAAAAACAAGGGAAATTCGCCTTTAACCATAATTATTTTGATATACCTCGTTTCATACATGTATAATGCAATCAATATGACATGCATTGGCCCGAAACCAAGTGGTAACTCAATTTGTAAAGAATGTATGATATCTCAAGAAAAATAATCTTTTGTCAAAGTTCTCCTTTAATTCAAAACTTGCAACCTCACAAACAAGCAACCAGCTTTTAACGGTATCTTATTTTTTCTCTGCCTTCTCAAAAATTCTCTTGGTTGAGACGTCACCTTTAGTCATTGTGATACACAACGCACCATCTACGAGCTCACGTTTCTCTTCCGGTTCATTATCACCAGAGTTAGCTGACTTCAATACCATTGCCTGTCCGTCCCAACTGTTAAAAAGAGAAGAAAGAACAAACAAAAATAATCGCTGAAGTTAATACCTGATAGAGAATTTTAACCGAAATAATTGAGTATTGCGTATCAATATTTCAGTCGTGGCATTGTCTAACATAAAAGGTTTCCTATTGGATACATAAAACTTTGAATTTGATTTGTGTACGGATGGATAATTAGATGGATAAACAAGGATCAGAGATAAGTCAAAAGCTAAAGATATATATGCCTATAGATACATGCTGATTCATTATTTTGTAAGCAAATACAAAGATTTTGAGACATAAAAACAAACTTTATTGACGTATTCAATTTGTTTCAAACATCAAATGTTGTTTTCATGATGATCCAAGCGCCTTTCCGAGGATCAGCTAAATTGTACCATTATATATATAAACTGTATGCAAGACAGATTTCATCCCAAACATGTAATCTTAAAATACATCACATGTTTGGGGAAGAAATGTCCATTGAACATCGCAAGAAAAGATAAATGTTTAAAAATAAAATTCTTCCGGTTCCAAGGTTTGTTCTGACTTGTTTTTCAATACAGATCGATCATTCGATCTTATTTACTGGGTGTAAGCCATAAATGATGATATAAAGCCAATCTTACGTTGCTATTCTGTGCAGGGTAACCTTGCGGAAGCTATTGTACGTCTCAAAAGCTTCACCGACTGTGAATTCCATTTCTTGTTGGCCAACCGGCAAACTGCAAGAGACAAGTCATCATCTACACTATTATGTACAGTAATTCATGCATGATTTTGTTCATTAGCAGGGGCAACCATTCCATGCAATGACCGGAGAGAAAATTTCAGTAGTGGGGACGTGTCCTCCCCCCCCCCCCCCCCCATCCCTCATGAGATCACCGCTCTTGGCCAAGTCACCAGCGAGAATACGCTGCCACAATTGTGTATTAATAATAATAATAATAATAATAAAGTTACTTATAAAGCGCTTACCACCAAAGTCTCTAAGCGCTTAAACACACAAAAAAGACTGATAAACAATTACATAAAACAAAACAAAAAAGTGCAAATAAACCTACAAATTACAATACATATGGAAAACACATCAAAGTGAACATAGTGATATCAATACATAGTTCATAGTAGGGTTGCAGACTTTGCTAGCATATCGTCAAGTGGAAGTGATTGCCATCATCGGGTAGTTTGCTTTGTTGTTATACAATCGTTAAATTGCATTGAGTGAATTCATTAGTTTCCTTATCATTTTATTTAAAAATTACCTTTCCATGTAAATGAATATAAATTCATACAACTTTTCCGTTACAGTATATCATTGAACAAATTAACTTAAACTGACATTCATTATACTGCCTAAGCTTCTAGCTAACTGATTGTTTTGCAGCCTTCTTTCACTTTGCCAAAACAAATACATTGTACTCTTGCTCTTGATGTAGGCATATGTGTAAACTTGAACATGCATATGATACGAAATAATTATGGTTTCTACCGGAATCACAGTCAAGTTGAGGTTGGATTAAAACAATAGCACGATTGGTCTTTGTACACCACAAAAATAGTGACTATCCAGGTTATAATTCGATATAGTCTGCTAGTACTAGTCTTTTACAATGTCGTCTCCTTTTCTCAAGTACGTCTTTACTTCCGACTAAGTATCACTTATACATTCAAAGAGAGTAACTTCAAAGAAAAAATATAGGAGATTTAGTGGTTACGCATAATCTTAACCCACAAAAATTATAAACCCACGACAGAAATGAAACAACAAAAGAAGGAGAAATAATATATACACGTGTCGAAAATGAGCGAGTAGGTCCAAAGGAATAGTACTGAATGGAATTGGATAAGTGGGAGGGAGGTGCCCATCTCCCTTAACATCAATAAGTTTGCAAGTATTGATTTTGTCATGCGTTTACAAGAAAATTCAACATAATTTGACTTTGGAAGTGGAAGATATTACACAGAGCTTAAGTTAATGTTTTGACGATCTTTGTAAATCTACTTGGTTTAATGCCCTTATCAGGGATTTGCAAGTGCTCTAAAACTTATCTCAAAGTTTATGTGTAGCAGTAAGAAATAGGAAACTATGATCATTTTAAGAGGAAATTAAAGGAATACCTAATACTTGACAGTCAGAGAACAGAAGTGAATGACATGTTATATGATTAAAATTGTTATTCTTCTGTCGGTTCATACTTTTTCATGTTGTAAATACTTATGTTTTCGTACGTTATAGAAATTCTACAAATTGATCATTATTTTCCTCTTCTTCCTTCTCCTCTTTTTTCTTCTTCTCCTTCTTCTTTTTCTTCTTGTACTTAATATCATTTCTATCATCAGTTTAATGTTGTTACTATTATTATTATCTTTAATAAGTAGTTCTTTTAATTTTCTTATCTGTTTGTAAATATTACTATTTTAACTTATTAATGTTATACATGTCTGTAAGGGACCCCACTGGAAATAAGCTCTCGAGCTTTCGTGGGTTATCCTGTTCAAGCTGACTTATTTTTGATCTGTTATTATTGAATATTGTTGTATGTTGGAAGCTTGTCGAATAAAAATCAATCAATCAATCAATCAAGATGGGTTTATGAAAGTACGTGCAAAATTTGTGATCAAGAGACCGCATGTGTTTTTTTGTTCTATGAGTTTAAATTGAAGCCCTAATTTTGTACACAACAAACGGGGTAAATAAAACACTGTCAGGTGCGAAATTTAAATTTGAAAAGAAAAATTACTTTATTTCTGCTAATAATTAATATTTTTCCTCCATACTCATATGAATTTTTCAATTATGATGTTTTACAACATTTGGGCCCTTTCACAAGTTTTGACATTTTCACCTAAATTAAACAAGTTTGTCCGAATTAGATTTGAGATTAGTCAGAGGCGCCACTAATTGTATTATGTTTATACAAATCTATCATGTTTAGAGTTTGGTTAGACTTCTGTATTTTGTCAGAATTAAACCTGAACCCCCCCCCCCCCCCCACACACACACACAGTGTTATTTAGTGTACGGATATGCATGTTCCCTCCTTTTGAAAACACCCTCTAAGTCCGGTGTGTAAAGTCGTTTTTGTACCGGACATTTTGGTAACACTAATGGTATCCCTCCGTTCACGAAGTGGGGGGGGGGGGGGGGGGGCATGAAACCTCTGTCAGCAAATTTAAATGTTGTCTGTTTCCAGTTTATTTGTAAACCCTTGTAAGGGATTTAAAACTCTGAAGACCATTTTGGGGAAATTTTGGTGAAGATTGAATTTAGATATGATGTGTGTTACTCACATGATCTTGATCTTGAACTGATTTCCATCCTGTTCAATATCTTGGTACATGGTGGCCGATTTTATAACCTTCCTAAGGACGAAGTTTATTCCATTGGCTTGAAGATACTTCTCAAAGTTTTCGTCGTTTTTCTTCAGCTTCCAGTACCCAGACATGTCTGGTAGCACGCCCGACGATGCCATTTGTGATTTCCAATATCACGGACGTGATCTCCACGGAGTACTGCTTGTTGGGAATGTACGTCCCGGACCAGGAACAACAAAAACTTTCCAACTTCAGTAATCCATATAATAATACGCTAAGGCGTCGAGGGGGGTATCCGGGGTCCATTTTACGGCGCCCAGATCTCCCCTCCCGCCCGCCCCCGGGCGCCGCCGGGCGGTCCCGCGGACGGACGGGGTTTCAATCTACGGAATTGGCCACGTCCCGGCCCGGTGCGACGTCCCGGTCGTCGTCGACGTCGTCGATGCGTCCGCACGTCCCACTTATCCGTCACGAATTTCGTGTTTTAGCATGAAACGGAAGTGGACGAGCGGTCTGAGGCGCCGGTTGCGTTCGATTCGCGGGCAGCTCTTGCACTTTTTGCACGCACGGGTTCGATCCCGCCTCCGTCTCAATTTTTTTTTCTTCCCCGTGTTTGTTTTGTATATTTTAGATTTTGTAATCTTTACCATTTTTTTAATTTTAATTAAAATGTAGACCTCATATTTAAAATTTAAACGAGTTGAGTCTTTATTTGATATTTATTAGCTTATTTCATGATATCTAGGCCTAAAATCAGCGCAACAGACGTCTTCCCATATCCACGTCCAAACTTAGAGACCTATTTCCATCATTATTGCCGGGATTTTTATATAGGTTTCGTGAGTGGAGGTATGAAATCAAAGCTTATTTTGTGATTATTCTGGCCATGTTTACTCAGTTTTGATTATCATTTATTAAAGGAAAGTTTTCACAAGAAAATCAGAGAAAAACATCGTTCGGTTTCAAGAGCTCTGCCGTACGCATACAGTGTGTAGTGCAGTGCAGCTGCACTGGCTGCTCGACTGAGCTGAGCTAGCTATTCAGAGTCGAAGAGACTATGAAGGGCCAAACATGCGATATATTCGACAACTATACGCTATATTATGTATCCATCCATGCGACTATTTATGTCTATCCATTCATTGAAGTAGGCCTACACGTGAACACAACAGCGGGCAGGCCGAAGTGCCATAAGATCGTTGGGGGGGGGGGGGGGGGGGCAAAATATTTTTTTTTGCATTTTACATGTTACAAAAAAAATCTGCATCTTACATGTTACATGCAGACCCCACAAAACATTTTTCAAAGTGTGGGGGGGGGGGGGGGGGGTCAGGTAGATCGAAGCGAGTTGAGTGTAGGCGTGGGGTCCACGGGTTGTGGGGGGGGGGGGCGAGGGGGATCAGGTAGATCGAAGCGAGTTGAGCGTAGGCGTGGGGTCCACGGGTTTCAAGGGGCCATAAACCCCCGAAAGCTCGGGGGGTTTAGGCGTTTAATTAGGGTCAGATGAGCATATTTTTAATACTTTATTTGGCGTGGGGTCAATACGTAGAGTTGCGTAGTGTTGCGTACCAACTACGCTGGCCTACGTTACTATATGCTGGGGGACGGAAAGGGGTACGCAAGATGAACGAAAACAATTCAACATGTTTAATTTTTTTCGCGTACTTTCGGCGTAGAAACTTGACGCAGAAAGTACGCCTTTTACGCAACACTACGCTACATGACTACGCAACAGTACGCTACCCTACACCAGATTGACAAAGCAGTAAAAGCTTTCCACACAGTAAGCAACCATAAGCAAACCTGTATGCCAGCCTACGCATAACCTACGCAGGGACTATTTTCCCATTAATACGCAGCCTAATTTCTGCGTAGTCGGTACGCCACACTATGGAACTCTACGCAGTTCCAGTGGCTTAAAGAATAACTACCGGTATAGTTGGATCGTTTTTGTTTTTTTATATAAGGCCAAATTAAAAAAAAAACATGTTTAGCGTCCTGTTTTTTCGAAAAATGGGAAGGAGGCCCTTTTTTTCTCTTTTTTTTCTTTCAAAATGGCCGCTCCGTACATTTTCCCTGACATTCAGCCTATTTTTCAAGATGGCGGCCGACAATTTTTTTTTTTCTTTTTTAAAATCAGAAATACATTTTAGCAGTGCTTTTCATGTTTTTTTTCTTTCAAAAAAAAAAAAATTAAAAAAAAAATAAAAAATATATTAAAAAAAAAAATAGGAGGCGGCCCCCAAAAAGGAAGCAGGCGGGAACGCTGTTTTTTTTTCTTTCAAAAATAAAAAAAATAAAAAAATAAAATATTTAAAAAAAAAGCGGGCGGGGACGCTAAACATGTATATTTTTTAATGGCCTGAATGGCAAATAAAGTTCTTGGTGGTTTTAATTTAGACAGTCTCTATATATCTATTTACACCCCCGCCCCCCTCTAGAATCCCGCGGATTTCCGCGGGTCCTGCTAGTCTATTTATTATTAGCGCAACAACAATTAGTTTGTAGTCCAATCAAAAGGCCTAGCATAGGTGTACAAATGACATGCATTTATTATACAGGAGACATACGTATGGTAGCTCTATGCACAGATAACCATATTCCATACGAATACGAAATATCAATATAGTCCTAGACATTACATGAAAGAGCTTGTAAACCAAACATTGGACTTTGATCTCCAATATACACATGATGCAATAGATCTCTTTCAAAGTGACCTGTTGTGATTTTTGTGCATGTGTCATTCTTATAACCGTGTGAATGAGCCCAAAACAATATAGCAAAGCAAAATGAAAACTTTGCATACATTTGACGTGATAAGCAAAAATCTCTCTCTCTCTCATTCTGTTTTTTTTTTTTTTTTTAATTATTTTTACATGCATTGATTATTTGACTCGGTCACTTTCCTTTTTTGTTGAACTAGAGACACCCAAAACAAATCTCTCTTTGTCGCCCTCTCTCTTTTTCTGTCGCTCATGCTGTATTTCTCTTGTTTTACATGCATTCAAGTTACTATCCTTTCTGTAGAACTCGAGACACCCAACGGAAATCTCTCTCTGTCGCCCTCTCTCTCTTTTTGTCACTCATTCTGTTATTGTCTGGTTTTACATGCAAGTCACTTTCCTTCCTAGAGCACTCAGGTGACGTATATGCAGACCGCAAAAAAAAATCTGTCTTTTTCTCTCTCTCTCTCTCTCTCTCTTTCTCTCTCTCTCTTTCTCTCTCTCCCTCTCTCTCTCTCACACACACATACACACGCACGCGCACACGCACTATCACACACACACACACACGCACTCACTCACTCAGGCGCGGATCCAGGATTTCTTAGGGGAGGGGGCCCAACTTTTTTTGTTTTTTTTGCTCCCAACCCCCTAAAAAGGTAAAAATCACGTGTTTTTGCATGATTTTTTTCTCAAGGGGGGGGGGGGGGTCCCCCTGGATCCGCCACTGCACTCACTCACGAAGAGTAACTGCTATATCCCTACCAATTTTTCGCAACTCTTTCTATCCCTCCCTTGCTTTCCCCCTCTTTCGCTCACTCTTCCTATTTTTCCCCTACTCCCTCCATTTATATACACCATTGTCGTGTGGTATACATGTATGTTATCTTTCAATATATTTATCTTTGGATGGCTCTCTCTCTCTCTCTCTCTCTCTCTAGATATCTCAATTTATCATTCTAATTGTTCTTTACGAGTCGGCACCATCCCTCTTTTCATCTGTAATAATCCCTTCTAATTCTCCTCATGCTTTTCATAGTGATTTAAAATATTATACACATCCGTTGTTAGGACGTGTACCAATCGTCATAGTTACATCACTAAAGTATCAAATTTTAAACTCATACCACTAAACCAAGACATCAGATCAAATTCTTTCGTAACTGTAGAACATGTTTATTGCATCAAAAAATGATTTGGTTAATTAAACATACAAACGTCAAATGTCGCATCTCCATTGTGCGCTCTCTCCCTCTCTCTCTCTCTCTCTCTCTCTCTCTCTCTCTCTCTCTCTATCTCTCTCTCTCTCCTACTTCCTCTCCCCCTCTCTCTCTCCCTATCTCTCTCTCTCTCACCCACGCCTACTCTTCTACTTTAAGATATTGTAAATCAATTCAATAGTTCAAATAATGTACATTGATTATGATATAGATGCTGCTTGTAAATTTGTCAATACATTAGATTGGAATGATTTTCATATGGAATGTCAAATGTCACAATGGTCACAATTTAAATCACTCTTGAAAAGTAATATTCATACGGCACGATAATAAAAATAATAATCTGGATTTACATAGCGCTTAATACGGAGTACCGTCTTTAAGAGCTTTACAGATTATTATTACCCCAGTCGTCGGATTCATTCACGCTAAATGTGCACCGTCTCCACTCCCTGGGGAGTATTCTTACCATATGGCCACCGTCAACTAAACACAAATGCTTTCGTCATCCTACCGGGTCCCCATTTCTCTCTGGGGTACTGAGTGGCAAATGTAGATTAATGATCAGGCCCGAAAACAATTATTCCTCATCCAGGCAATGTTTTATAAACTTATTGGTTATACAAGCTATCACAAGTTTCGGAGAAGTTTCCTGCAGTCAATCAAAAACCAATTTTAGTAGCTAATATAAACTATTTTAACTTGTTATTGGGAACAGGTCTTTTTGCAATATTGACCGTAAATTCACATGGATGTGCTATTGTAACGGCATGTACATTCGTTAATGTTTCTTTCTCTATTATTGCTTATCGAAAGAATGGGTTACTTTAGTACAAATATGTAATCATCCATTTGCAGCTAGAAAAATTAGTCAAAGGAATTAGGTCCATAAACTATTTTTTTAAATAAAATAATAATGATTCCATATTCCATTTAAATATCATGGTACTATTTTCATAATTAAATACATAAAACACGGTAAAAGAGGGTTGACAAATTTGTCAGACCAGTGTTAACCATCCACATCATACTTTGTTGAAATGTCTGACGGCTGTGACGTCACCTTTCCTTTGTGTTATCGTCATATGATTGGCATCTATCAGTTCTCTCGTTGCTACAACTCCATTCGGGTCTGCCTTGTTCCTAAAAGAAATAATGATACAAAACGAACACGAATGTCAATTCTGTGATGTCGAGATGAGTACAGTTCATAAAATAATCATAAAAAGAATAATATTCCTTTGATATATATCTTCAGAGCGTACTTATAGTCCATGAATAGTTATTTTATTGAAAGGACCGGGCCACGAGCATAACCATGAGCAGAAAATTCCAGAAATATAAATAATGTCACCCTTTGGGACTTCTAGACCTTCTCATTAACTCCTAGGTAATAACAGCATACTTGCATTTTGTATCTTTCATTTACGATGTTAGGTAGACAAATGGAAAAATCAGCTTTAACATTTTTTTTGATACGTTCAACTGGTTTCAATATACACCTCTTTATGATGAGTTAATGATTATCAAAACAGATTTAGATAATAGAGAATTCGAGACCGGTTCCATCTCTGAATTTCATCTCTGTAACAGTTTGTTTCATTGGGCCAGTTTAACACAAATTACATTACCATGGAACAGCCTAATCATTCTTTGAATGTAATAACTCTGTAAATTTCCATCTAGAACGCGCGATGTAGATGGGCAAGTCAAACCAATTATTTTGTCCCATACGTTAGCGACCACATAAGATATTATTATCAAGCTCAAAGTTCTACTAGAACTTGGACCAGAGACAATTATCAAGTAAAACGACATTTCTTTTTGTCATTTCATGCTCATGGGTCTATAGTGTATTTCCATAATACTTGTGGAACGTATCGGACATAAGTTGAACTTGCAAAGATATGGTGTATGTGGCATTGCACGCTGAACTCAGTAACCCATAGCAGTACAGTCTCTCCTCTTCGTGACATTTTGCTTCCGGAATTTTTTATAAGGAATGCTAAAAATTAAACATTATACTTGAGCAAAAAGGCACAAAAATCACAGATTTTCAAAGTCTATTTCCAATGTAGTACGTTGTGGCCGCTCTCGAATTAGAGCGATCTAATTCAAGATTCTACGTTGGCAGCGCGGTGTAAAATATAAAAACACTATCTTGGTGTACACATTGGGGGATTTTTGCGATAAAAAAGTTGTAATTTTCTTTCATATAGCTTCATTTAATAAACATTCTATTTTTTCAAACTACGAAGAAGTGTACAAATTAAGATCGATTGCTGTCAATGTGAGGAGGAAAACTGATTACTTCATAAATAAAAAATCTTTTGGAGAGAGGCGTAAATATTCTCGAAAAGAATGAAACGCCGATAATATCAACAACAACAACAAGAACTGATACGGGGTAAGCCGAATACTACAACTAAACTCACGTGATAACTATCTTATCACCGTCCCACTCAGTCATCAGCATCTCATCTTTCCCCGAGATAGGATTCTTGAACTTGAACTCTTGGCCTACAGTAAACTCCAGTGTCTCTGTCTTGATCGATGTCTTATTAGTGACGACGAAGTGGTCTCCATTTTGGGTGATCTCCTGCTGGGGTGACAGGGAGGTGATGGCTTTTCTCTTGAGTATGTTGACACCTAGAGCCTTAAGGAGATCGTCAAACTTCTCGTCTTTAGTGTGCTTCCATTTACCTTCGAAGTTGACCTTGGCCATGGCTGTTGGAGGTTGAGCTCGATGGACTGATATATTCTGTGGAAATAATAATAATAACGACAACATTAGTAACAATAGCTGTAGTAGTAACGGTAATAAGAATGAGAATGAGAAATAGGATAGTTGTCCATGGGGTAGCTGTCCTAGAGGATGGTTGTCTGGGGGTAGTTGTCCTGGGGGTAGTTGTCCTGGGGTAGTTGTCCGGGGGGGGGGTAGTCGTCCTAGAGGGTGGTTGCCCTAAGGGGTAGTTGTCCTCGGGGATAGTTGACTGGGGGTGGTTATTCGGGGGGGGGGGGGTGGATGTCTAGGGGGTAGGTGTCCTAGAACCGTTACGAATAAATGTTAACTCAATAGTCAGAATTCAAATTGCATACATTAGTTGTTGCTAGGTAGGACACACATTATGGTTTTGATTACCTTATAACACGTAATATATGCAATTTACATTTTGAATATTGAAATACAATTATTTATTTGTAACAGGTGGATGAAATAATTATTCGTTTCAAGGCACTCAAATAAATTTTGTTACATTAAGAAAATGGCCTATTTGGTAATGACCAATATTATTTACGCAAATATTCCTAATTTTGAATGTAGAGCAATTCATCTATCGAACCCAAAGTCATTATTATAGTCAGACGGCAGAATAAATAAACATGTATTTCAATAGACAGAATGCCAATTGCATATCATATATTACGCGTTGTTAGGTAGGGAAAGCCATAATATTCGTCCTACCTAGCAACAAAATGCAATTCGCGTTCTGATTATTGAGGTACACTTATTTGTAAAAGGTGAACTAAATGATTCGTGTCGAGGCACCTCGATCACAAAGACGTAGGCCTATGCATTGTATTTCGTTACATTACGAAAATGGCTCATTCATACGATTCATATTCACAAAGTACATAAAGTAAAACAAGAAAACTTACAATTATAATTCAATGTGTGTGATGACGGGATCCAGTTATCACACGAGCTTAAAAACACCACGGTCACAGTTTTTGTAGGATGGTAAAACTACTGGAGTTCCACACTGACCAATCATACAATATTCTCGTTCAGAGCAGACGATGACTCGCAGTATATTACACTCCCTCTCTCATTAGCTACTACTATTAGACTACAGGACATGTGTGTTCTCATATAAAGGTAGCCGGTCTTCTTATAGCCTAGACCTTTGTCAACATGATGCCAAATACACCCTTCTTGTGTTTGCTCTTCAATTGAAATAACCCGCTCGTCACGTAAGCGATCTTTTATTATGGTAATTACCTTATTTATAGGGGTAAACTGTGAAGTTGTGTGATTACATAATACTCAGTAAATATTCCCAATGTGTAGGGTCTCACTTACTGACCTTGCATGTAAACATACAAGTGATATTGTCTAGTTAAAATTTTGTCCAACATTTTTGTCCGATATTATGGATATGTATACGACTATGGCTAAACACATTCAAAACGTTATAGCATTGTGATTTCAAAGAAATATTATTTAAGAGGAAATATAATTTGCTACGTCTTACGATGCAAAATACCATTTACGTATTAAGGTAACGAGATATAATGCATACGTCTTTTCGAAGTGCCTCAGTACAAATATTTTGTTCTCTTGTATAATTGTATTTTAATGGTCAGAATGCACAATACACATATTACGTGTCGTTAGGTAGGGCAAACAACAATGTGTGACTTACCTGACAACAACTAATATTTGCAGTTCTCATTCTGACGATTAGAATACAATTATTCGTAAAAGATGAATGACATAATTCGTATCGAGGTTCTTCACAAAGACGTATGCATTAGGTTTGGTTACATTACAAAAATGGTATATTCACTGTAATCATCTGATGTTTCCTAGATAAATAGAGCAAACTTTTACTTGTTTCAGTTGTTTGTATGAATCGCATATATTATGTAGGTTATAAGAAATGTAAGATAGCTCCTAATGGCATATAAACGCTTGGAGCAAAAAAAATATTCATTTGTAACTAATTGTATATTTACAAAATTCATCAAATGAGGTAAAGATTCATCTGATATACATACCATTATGCCCTTTCATTAATCATTTAGAGAGGACTGAAAACAAATAATATTTCTTAGAGGAACGTAAGCAGTAACAAGGAACAAAAGAATACAGGTTAACAATTCAAATCTTTTGAACGGGAATGCTTTATTTAGGAAGCATGATTAATTACAAATATGAAATAGTGCCATGAAATATTAGAACATTGCAATTGAGTTTCAACATTTAATACCGCTTTGATGATTTGTTGTAGTCTTTTCTACTAGAAGATATAAGAAAGTCACCATTTTATGAATAATTCTTTTTAGCAGCAAATTTTATCACACATGTTCAATGAACTACAAACAAATATATTATAACTTTCCTTTACAGCAAACACACATAATTATGCATGTTTGGGTACACAATAAATATAATATGCAATTAACCCCTACCATTCTTTATAAGCGTATCATTCACTAGCTCCTCACTAAATACTGGATACCTACCTCTACACACTTTTAATAGGTTTTCACGAAATTTGAATTGAGATGACAGGTATCAAAAAATATTCCTGTTAGAATAGCCTCAACCTTTTTTTAAATTTCGAAAATTAAAGATCAGCTCCGTTATTGGGTAATTAAATATGGATAAACAATACTGCATTGTTACTTGTTGAAGGTTCGCTATGGTAAACCTGTATACGTTTAATGTATAGCATTATGTAGGAGCTTCTTTTTTAATGGATCAACTTTAAGCTTATAAATTTATTTCTTAGTATTTATAAACCTAACATTGATTGCATGACTTACATGAACATTTACATCTATGATATACAAGAGTACGAACGTTAATAGTTAAATATATCAACAAATGCTGCCCACAGTTTCAAAAATAAATGTAAGATCTAAGTTACTTTCAACAAGGTTTATGATGAAGTGATGTAAGCGAATATGAACAATGTCAACTGCTATTACCCACATTTCAGAATTATCCATGCATTAGGCCTGTATCATATTGTCAATTATTACATTTATAGAACATTTTCATTGCCGCTTCAATAGTTTGTGGTTGTCTGCAAGATTACTTCAGAAAACGCAAATTGGAAAATCTATTTGCAATGCAAAGGTGGTTTAATGGTATAGTTTCTGAGGCTTGTCCTACCTACCAGCAATGAAGATGTCCAGCTAATGGAGAAAACTCGTCATCAGCATAGATAAGAAAAGGAACATTTTAGTCACCAATTTGAAAAAATGTTTTGTTCGACGGAAACTTTAACCTTTTCTTTGGGGGAAGGATAGCATGTTAGATTAAAATATCCATTACTCATTTTATGGTAAAGTATCCATCACTCATTTTATGGTAAAATGTACATCATGGTATAGTTAAATAGTCATCTTGTTTTAGTGAAATAGTCTTCTTGATGTGTGTTTTAGCTGTACGTTTAAACTGATTTTGTGACTTGTTTTTTTCCCAAGTGTAATCAGGGGTTCGAAACCATAAACAACCCTAATTTAAAACAGTAACGGGTGATTAAAGGCTATAAACTACTAATGAATGAATAAGAAAAAAAAACCACCGAGTGCATTGGGTCAGGTGGGCGCATTCCTGAAGAAAAAAATAACGATTAACAGGACAGATTTATCACTTTTCTATTTGCCATACATAGGAGATGGAGAGGGAAATAGGTTAAGGTTCATCACCTCACTTCAGAGATTCAACCCTAAAATGTCCCGATACCAGCCTCTTCACTGGTGTATTGAACACCATAGGGTGTATTTGTAACCTTATGTGTGCATTTTTTAACCTGTGCTTTGATGGTTCTAATGAGCACCTTTCAGGGCGAAATCGTCGAAAATGAACCCCAATATTACAACTCGTGTAAACAGTGTATCCAGGGCACTACAGGTTTCAGAGAAAAACAAATGCAGGTTCACGTTGAACCTTTATTTCCTATTAAAGAGTAACCGATCAGGTTTATTCCTAATTGTATGCGTAAATTTGAGGCAGCGACACTGTTCGGACATTGTAATGTAGCAATGTAAACTTTCGAATTGTGAAAACAGACGAACAAGAGTTATGTTAACAAAATATCGATGACAGAAGATCGATCATGCCTGACGTACTGAAAGCCGTTACCATGTTATGCAGTTAATTGTTAACATTTGTAAGTTGTATTTAGTGCTGAGTTTGATTGAATTCTAGTGTTACTCTTTGGTAGTTATTATGAAGCCAGTTACTAGTATACAAAATCGTATATCATGATTATACTGTTATGCCCAACTCACACTGTACGATCCTACTGTTATTCGACTGATTTTCGATTGGACGTTGTAGTGTGCCATACCTTACGACTGCGATTCAATTTGGGATCAAAGTCCCAAAGTAATATCGCAGAGTAGCCGGATCCCGCCCCCCCTCCCACTCAGTGTTATTTAGGGTACGCATAATTATGCGTGTTCCCAGCACCCCCCCCCCCCCTTTTCAGCATAAGTTCGGTGTGTAAAGTCAATACAGGTAGATCTTTTTCTTTTGTTACGAGCCGGAGATTTTGGGAACACGCATACGGTCCCTCCGTTCCCGGAGTGGGGGGGGGGGGGGGGGAGGCGGGAGTCGGATCGTGTGCACTTGTGACATGGAAACAGCTTTAGTAGTGTTACTGACATGCGTATAGCTTGTTGGCCGACTTCAATTGCCGTATGCATGGTAGGTACAGTTGTAACTTGTCACAGACTATTTCCGCTAGTTGCAGGCTGACATTAGGGACTTTAGATTTGCGTGGACTAATACGTGTGACGTCCATTTAAGGCAGTGCATTAAAAGGACGTCAATCCCCATTGTCTTCGTGCGAATCTAAAAGTCCCTATTAATTGTCGTAAGTCGACGTCATGATGATGGTCTGTTGTCAGTCAAAGCATCACGAAGATAAGATATAGGTGGCAGCATGTTGTAGATATTGTCCCGAGTAACTCTTCCGCCCTCTTCCGTCATATTCATGTATAGTCCCTGGGTTAGTCGCATACGTTATGCAGTGAAGGATGGTCACCCATTTCAATATTTCCTAACATCGGCCCAAACGAGCCCGTATTAAATATGAGTATTTAAATTTCGACTTAAATTTAAATTTTTAAGCAGTCTAATTAATCTTCTAAATTGGTGACATGAAAATCATATATCATTTGGTCCACTTATTAACCATCTGACTGGGGAGAGCAGAAAAATCAAACATGTTTAAACTTATTTTCATAAAGTGATATATCATTCAGAAAACTAAAAGTTTGCTTTAGACGCTCACTTCTCTTTTTACAATAAAAAAATGTTAATATCTGATCTTTTCATTACAAAACTCCGTACTACTTTCATGCAAACAAAAAATATTTCATGCGCAATTTGCATTTCCAATGTTCATGTACAGGATGAGTTCGCAGAAATATAAGAAAACCGTGTCCACAATGCATAACGATAAATGCCACTTGAATCTTGGGGAAGCTGCATGAAGCTGTCGAAGACTACAAAACCCTACGCTGTTTAATATGCCTACTGCTAATCGCAATTTCTACTGCATGATGGGTAGTTGAAGTCCTCCAACCAATCCAGTTTTTTGACTGAATATCCAGAGAGAAAAACGGCGATCAGTTGTACGCTTTGAGCGACGGGGCGCTGGATTTTACATCAATCTTTTTTCTCCATCTTGTAGAATGTTCTGGTAGCAGTGACGTCTCCTTTGGATTGCGTCATTACTAGCTTCTCCCCGACTAGTGTTCGAGCCGTCGTCACACCGTCTTCTTGCGATAAAATCCTGAAGACAGAGAACAAAAGATAGAAAAAGAACATGAGACGTCAACATAGAAAACTTAAAGGTCGGTGGGCCAAGATGACCTTCGAGAATATTTGCAGGCTCCCAAAATGAAAAGGTTAAATTCCAACGGCATTTGGAAGATAATACTAATTCAGAACTTCATCTCATTTGCAGGCAGGCACAAACCCTTGTAAGTCGCTGTGCTTTACAGTGTCTGCATCGTGAGACTAAGCTGAGCGCATACTCCATAGGCTCTGTACTTTAGCTTCTACGGAAACAGCCAGAGACTGACAGAGCTAGGCTCTGACAAGGCTTTAGAAATTAAATTGTCAAAATTGTCTTTGCCGGCAGACTAGTCTTTGCACTCGACTAAATAAGGATAAGGTTATGACATAAAGCATAAAGGTTACTGACCTCATCCTATCAAATTGAGACTGAATAATAGCACCGCTGGGTCATTTTCTGCGTTAGAAGAAGGAGTTATTAGCCGGTGGTAACTGACCCGATTTTTGTTTGGGGATGTGAACCAAATCGAACTATTTATCTCCCGCACAGGAATTCGAATTCGCCGAAAATGATGTATTTTTTGCCAAAAGTTACCAAAAAATGGTTCCCTTGTCGTGCCCATCGCCTGTGCAGCGGATATCGAGTAGACTGGTAAACCACGAAAATATTCCATGGGGAATATATACCATAGATATACAAACCCACATCCATTAACGTCCATATAAAAGGTAAACCAGAGACATGAACTTTGACAGGAATATAACGGGAATAATGCAAAAAAACAGTGTTCCACAATCAAGAAAGACACAGGAGACGCACAGTGCTCACAATTTAGTTGCAATGTGGTTCATGTGTTTATCATAACACCAGAGGACACACAGCAGACTTTGAACCTAGTTATTTTCGCAATTTTTTTTTCTACCATTACATCATAAAAACAAAATGATATCTTACAGATAATAGTTATATGACTCTTTGAATAGCGTTAGGAATTCTCGATAATTCCCTGAAAGAAATGTACTCGCTTCACCTACTGGGGTCGTCGGTTAACAACTAGAGGTGGGGTACATTCTTATAGTGAAAGTCCACCCTGATATCAAGTTGGTTTTAAAACAAGCAGAACAATGAGAGAAACCATTCAGTGAGATTTTGACAAATAAGAAAGTTATAAATGTTTAAAGGTGAGATCAATGAAACACAAACTGGCAACACTGTGACGTATCAACACTGTGACGTATCAACATTGTGACGAATCAACACTGTGACGTATCTTGCGAGCTCGTCTACAGAAAATTCGACAAACCTTTATTTTCTTACTTGATGATGGAATAGATTTGTTTCATACAGGTGTTAAATAAAACATTGATAAATGTATGATTGAACATTTATGTAAGAGAAAATATAATTTGTTGAAGTTAGTTTAAGTACAGGGCAAATTGGAGGGAAGCGTCACAGAGTTGCCAATTTGTGTTTGTTTGATCTCACATTCATAAATTTATAACTTTCTTATTTTTTAATTGTTTTTGCTCAAATTTTCACTGACCTGATTCTCCAATTATCCTGCTTCTATTAAACCAACTTAAAGGGAAAGTCCACCCCCAAAATAAGTTTGTTTCGATAGAGGCAGAATAATAAGAAAATCAGATGAGTGAAAGTTTGAGCAAATTCTGAATGAAAATAAGAAAGTTATGAATTATTGAAGTTGTGATCAATCAAATACAAATTGGCAACTCTGTGACTTATTATACGAGCTCTCCTTCATTTGCTTTGTGCATAATATTCCATAAAATCATGTTTTCTTCGTTATTGATGACGGAATATATATTTGTTCCTTGCAGGGGGAGTATAGAAACATATTTGCAATTATTATATTTAGGGTGCATGTATGGTTGAAATTTTTCTTGAGGGAAAATGAAAATTTTAGATTTTTTTAGTACTGAGCAAATGGAAGTTGAGCTCGCATGATACGTCATAGAGTTGCCAATTTGTGTTTGATTGATCACAACTTCAAAAATCCTAACTTCCTTATTTTTAATCGGAATTTGCTCAAACTTTCACTGACTTGTTTCTCTCATTTTTCTACTCCTATTAAAACTAACTTAATTTCAGGGTGGACTTCCCCTTTAATATCAGTGTGGACTTCGCTTTGAAAAATTATGACGGAGCAACGAATTCTACATTTCGATCAGTAAGTCAGTATGCGAGGGAATATGTAGTGACCAATCCGAAACTTTATTTTTTGTAAAACACGAAAGAAAGAAATATTACCGTGGGGTTCCTGGGGAATGATGTGGGTATAGTACAGGTAGGGTTTTACAAATTGTATAGAAGAACAAACGAGCCCCCCCCCCCCCCTTCCTCCCGTTTTTATCTCTCTCTCTCTCCCTCTCTTTCCCTACCACCACTCTTTCCACCCTATATGGGTAGATGGATTTTCATTCAAACTGTACTAATAATAGTTCTGGCATGATCATGATAATGTCAGAGGTGACTCCTTTCAAGCCGTATTCTCACCTGTCGCCTTCTCAAAATATTTCATCTGATGGACTGTTGACATAGGAAAATAAACTCTGTCATAACCGCACCTAACGAAGAAGTGTTTAGCCATAAAATATATGTCCAAAATTTGATAGGAAATCTAATCAAGAGCTCATTGTGTTCGATGACTTGACTATACCACCTGGCTCGGTATAACCTCTGTAACCCCAAGCCACTTTCTCTCTCTCTCTTTTCGAAAAGTAAAATGGATAATGCCATAACGTACATTTTGTCTCTTCAATATGCAGCAGCGATGTTTTTTTAAGTGGGGAAAATTCATTTTTCTTAAAGATGTAAAACACATTAAATGTAGGCCATTTGTAAGTTTATTGCACTCTGCTGACAAATTATTGACACTGATTTTAAATTATAATCAATGTGAACTGATTTAATGAATCTTATTATCATCTGAAAGTGAGAGTCTGAATATTACCTATTTGAACACAAAGACAAAATAATTTGTTTTTCAGCATCGTACTTTATGATCGTGAATGCATTTGAAACCGTTATAATGCAAGATATGGTATAATTATAATTTAATGAGTAATGTAACTTTTATTTTACAAAACTAAAAAGTTATGTAATGTTCTGGTAGAAGGTTCTGTTTGTTTGTTCTGTCTTCTTTCTTTCTGTCGTACAGACATCTCGTTGTTGTTCTCTTATATTTCTCAAAGCTAACTGAAAGAAACACATCGACTTGGTCTTAAAATGTCTAGATTCCTAATACAAACCCATGTTCATAGTGTTCACGACCTTGACGTGCACTCTGTACACGATAGAGGCCTATGCTATCTCATGGATATGCTATTTCTCTGACACGGGTAATTCTCTGTTGGGAGTTTGTACTGAACATAATATCGCGATTGGCAGTGACAAAACAAAGAAAACTAAAAATGTTTGCACATAGTATGTGTAAGTTCAGGCTACTTTCTTTTCTTAAGGCAATCCTATTTAAATAGAAAAAACATCTTCCTGCTGCCAAACTGCCAGTCCAGAATATTTCGATGTCATGTGATAGAGTTATTTATTTTTGTGGGAAGATTGAATCAGAGACTTGATACTTCTGAACATCTAAGAAAACATCTCAATGATCGTGACAATATCCGATAACATTCACTTCAGACAACAGATAAAGGAAGCAAAGATTTATGAGCAGAAAGAGCAGACGGCTAGTCAGTCATGCAGCGGAGTTCTCAACTTGTTATTTTATGGGGGTGCAGTTTTTTTTATTCAAAGATTTTTATTTAAAGGTATAGACTGGTTGTGGTAAAATTGCGGTTCAAGAGTTTTGGGTGCAAAATATCCATTCAATATTTTTTAAATATTCCCTCCAGAGGTTTAGATGGCAATACTTCAACCTAAATCCGCAGAAAACAGAAATATATGTCCAAATGTTCAATGTTGAAGTGCATTCCCGATATCTATCCAGGACGGATCGATATAATTTACCAAATATATCAAGTAGTAGGCGGTTTCCAGGCAAAATTTGTATTATCACGTATTTCACATAAAGGTCAAAAGTTCAAAACATATTCTTTCACATGATTAGTAATAAGAGCTTCCATTTTCAGATTTTGAGAGGGGGCGTTTCCAAAACTGGTCTATACCTTTAAGGGTTTCAATATTATGCGACAGCTTTTGTCACCTGTATTATTTTTTTCTCAAGGCGAGTTATCTGAATAAATATTGATTGGACATTATCTATTCGATAGGTCATCAGAGATATTTGTGTTTGTGGTAGGTCCATGGTGTGAGAGAAGGAGAGAGCGAGAGGGAGAAAGAGAGAGAGAAAGAGAGAGAGAAAGAGAAAGAGAGAAGGAGAGAGAGAGAGAGAGAGAGAGAGAGAGAGAGAGAGAGAGAGAAAACGCACACTATTTATTAAAGGGATAGTTGAGTTCTGTGCAGAGGGCGCTACACAAAAATATTTTTTGTGAGATAATGAAAAACTGAGTGTCAAATTTGAAAGAACATTCAATTTAAATAACAAAATCATCTTTGTTTGATCAAAATCTCCAATATAACATATTATTATATAAATATCATTATCACTATTATAATCATTACTATTATTATCATTACCAAATATTATTATTGATATGATTATCAATAATTTGTATTATCATTATACCATCATCATCAATATTATTACTATTTTCATTATTATTATTATCATCATTATCGTTATTATAATCTTCATAATCATATTCATATCATAAACTTGAGTTCTGGTGAAAAAAGAAAATGAATTCTCACAGAATTAAACAAAACTTACAATGAATGTTTAAGATTACAAATAAATATCATTTGCCAAACAATTTTGGTAGAAAATGTATATTGGCTGAGTAATGAGCATAGCAAGATGAGGAAACCAAGGTAAGTAGGCCCGACGCCATTTATGTAGTCCAATATACATCTTTCTGTGTACAGTGCTTGTTACTTTACCAAGACTGAGCCAAATTTATTATGATTTTGATGACTCCAGAATCTTGCAGTACACACCAATACTTGCTACATGATCAACTTTTTCTAATCCATTCTACCAAGAAGTTACCAGATTCTACAATGCAATCGCATGAATAGAACTCAACTTTATCTTTAATATTATCATCATCATCATCATCATCATCATCATCATCATCATCATCATCTTCATCTTCATTATCAATATGATTTTCTTCCCTTTATCACTTCTGTTATCACCATTTGTAAGCCTATGTTTTACCATTCTCTCTTTACTATTCTCATTATTATCAGTGATTGTCATCATTATAATAATAATATTGGCCTTCTACACTATCCCTCTGGAGGCAATCGACGACTTGACCACCAGGACCTGTGTTTTTTGTAAGGTTAACGAACTATTGGAATGATAATGAGTATTACATTATGATCTTTAATGTCTCTTTACGAATCACATGTATTTCAATCGAAGGCTCTGTATTAACACAAAGCAACAGCACGAGTATAATATGTAAAATATAGCATTCATAATTCAACGGCAATTCGATTCTTCCAATAATTTGATTTGCATGAAAGCAGACAAACTAAAAAATGGCTAAAGTTTGAAATAAATTTGGACAAGAAACATAATGCTTATTTATAGATGGTGATTACAAATTTCAAAAATACATAATTTTCCTATGTTTTGTCCGATTTTATTCAAACTTTCACCAGTCTACTTTTGCCTATTTCCTACTTTTCTCTAGAGAAGTTGCGATCGAAGTTGGATGAATTGAAAGTCTAGACTCACTTAAGTAATATTCATGATAGGCCTTATTTGTCAATTTGTACTTCATAGCAAAACATCAACGGTGTTCGAATTTGAAATCTTGCGTATTTCTTTTCCTTCAAACTCTACTCCATCAGAAACAAATGTGGTAGATTTAAAGTTCAAAGAATAAATATTTTCTGAGAGCATTATTGACAGCCCTTTGGATGCGGTATATAATACTCAATATGTATGGAATATAAATAGTGCCGGTCAATACAAAATAATAATGAAAAAACTGCCAGTCATATCATGTCTACATCATCATTTCTATCCATTTTCAATATCATTATTTCATAAATGTTCTTCTTTTTTTGAAATTTATCAAAATTTACCGGGAGCACCGGTAAACGTCTATACTCAATTTTTCTCGAAAGCAGAAGTGTTTTAAGGGCTAAATTTTGTGCTTGTAATATATCTACAAGGGCATCCAAATATGTAAAAATTGTAAAGAATCACTACCCAACCAGTTTTTCAAGTTTCCCAAAACTTTGTATTACCTTTAAGTAAAACCTGAAAAGACACGTGGGATTACATGAAGAACGAAGATTATGGAAAAAATGTTATAGTAATATATTTGGTGCACATCAGTAGCCCAATGTAGTCACAGTTGAATAAGAGCATGGTTCAGAGACAGCATAACAAACTGTTCTGGATATTTTGAAAAACGTCATGATGAATCAGGCTGTAATAACTCAAAAGAGCCACAATTCAATACTTATGAAGAAGAAAGAAATGCGCAGAGTTCAATGAAAAGTCAAATAAATGTGGGTCATGGTTAATAACCAAGAAGCACTACCAAGCCAGGGGCAAGGTGCAGCATGTTAGTTTTTTGATTTTATTAACTTTTCTTTCCCGCGAAACTGGTTGGCTGCAACTGGGTCAAGATCCTATTTGTCTAAATATTGATTCATGAAAGCGACTGGTTTGATGATCGTTAAACAGCATAAATACCAGAAGGCATTCCTAAAAATCGTACTAATTATCGAATTTACATAAAATAACTCAGATCTCGGGCTACGCTTTATACTCATGTAATCATCTTTGCGTGGTAAATTATCTGTTCGTGAAGCCTATTAAAGAATGTGCAACACATGTGAATTCACTGCGTTTGTCAAGGATATGACGTCAGATATTCTGGGATAATAAAATAAAAACGCGACATGAGAGTTCTATACGTATGGACAGCGACAATTATGAAATAACAATAATTAAAATACTACATTTGTTTCCCCCAGGGAAGCCTCATCATCACCAATGCTAAGGGCCCTGCAGTTATTATCATCCCATCAGATTGCTAGGAACCCATTTACACCTAGATGATGAGTAAGAATGTGGATTATGGCTTGTCAGTCAACAGACGTTAGTGTCGAGTTGGAATTCGAACCCTAAACCCTTGGATTAAGAGTCAAATGATTGTACCGCTATACCACGACACATCCACATCATTCATAAATGTATGGAGATAGTTAGTAGGTATAGACAAGACACTAAATACCGACACGGCTTCAGACATGTCCAATGCATAACTTGATTGTATTACATGAAAGCACCACACTTAATCATTTGTTCTTCTTTTTATTTCATTTTCATTTCTTATTTTCGGGAGGGGGGGGGGGTACTTTATCGAGTTCTTATTTACATACCTCCATATATCTTTACGAGTTGCTATGAAGTCATAATATTACAAGTGTGATGCTGATGTTAAATTTTGATTTCAGATGGAGGTAATGCTGAACTGTCTTCTCGGTCGGAAGTGGTATAATTATTGTGATTGGCATGACTAGTGTGACGCCATGAAGATTCGCAGTCTTCTGACCGGAAGACTAATAATATCAATAATGCATATGAACGTTCGAAATTTCGATCAAAGATATACATCTAATTTGAATTTAATCTCTTTGGAAAGTATTTAAAATGGAAATTGTAGTCAAGTCATAATAAGGTAAACGGTGGCTTTAAGAGGGAAATAACAAGGACAGTGATACCCGATAGCTTTATTCTACATTTATGAGTAGAGACTATTCTAATACTTAAATGGCAGGAAGGTCTGCCCTTGATACACATTCAACACATTCATTCAATGATATGTGTAGGTAGCGGTATGTAGAGGTTCTTATCCCCGTCAGCCTAGTATTGATGTGTCTAGACACACTAGCACATGCACAGCCAAAACTCATGCACGCAAACGGACTGATAACATGAAGCAGTGTAGAAATTTGTCTACCTGTGATGCATGACGCCTGGCACTTTTCTAGGTCAGCATTTTATTGCACTCAAATACTACTGAAATCGTAGCACTGAATGAAAGGATGCAATATGTAAAAGACATCGATCATTATGATTTGCATCCATGATCTTACATTGTTTGCATTTGCATTGCAATGTCTATAAAAGCAGCACACTACCAAATCTTTCTGCTTTTACTCAAATTTGCTCACTTGTTCCCATATTTATTTAGGCAGTGTGTTGAGTATAGTGAATACATGCACTTTCTTTTATCGTATTTAATTCGACAGGAAAGAGCGGACGTCTCTTATATCTTATCATCCAGACAATGGGGTTTAATGTGTGTGTGTGTGGGGGGGGGGTGTCTCCATGAAAGTATGCTACTCACACCCGACTCAATGGATATATTCAAAACACAAATTCCACTCTCTCAAGTACATATAATTAGAAAAAAGAAAGGAGAAGGACATGGAACTTTCATTAGCACCTCACAAGGAACTCTGTCCCCCGTGTATGGCATATCCTGCCCCCCTTCCCCACTCCCTAAGCTCCCTCCTCTCTAGAATCCACCCAAATATTTTCTAAACTCACTTTGTGACAAGTTGATCTCCTTCCCACGTCGATATCAATGTATGATCTTCTTTGAAGTCTGGCGGTAGTTTGTGGGTGAATTCCTTTCCGATCTTGAACTCCACACGATCAGTAATCATGGGCATCTTTGTGGTGATGACGTAGTCTTCTCCATCTTGGGTTATCTCAATCTCTGGAGTGAACATCCACATCAGTTTCCTGATTACCAGGCCAACACCAGCCGCCTACCAAATAAAACAAACTTCAATAAATACCAACAATACTATTCAGAGTTTATGAAGCTTAATACACTTAGTTTAGAGCTTAATACACCGATCATGTCTCTAAGTACTTTACATAATATCATAATTGTAAATATTATTACACCGTTCTTCGGTTACAGGCTTGCGGCGCTTGCCTGTATAATATTTGTGTATTTTTCTTTGTATAGCGCCTTGAGTAAGTTATTAGATGAGTGCGCTTTTTAAGTATTTATTATTATTATTATTATTATTGTTATTATTATTATCATTAATATTATTAACACGACATCTCCACATTACATCATCTTTATATTCGTTCTCACCTTCCTGCATTCAGCAGTGTGTTATTGTTAATTTCTGATTAACGATTATTGGGCAACAATAGATTTATGATATCCAAAAGTATTTGTGGAGTAAAACTGAAATCGGTTTAAACTACACCATTGGTTGCCTGACTACAAGACCAGGAAGTGGTACGGGCTATTGTGTGAATAGTTAATGAGTTAATAAATATCATCTTTTTACATTATTGAGATTTAGAAGACAAAAAGGGGGATTGATTAGTTCATGGATTGCTAAATATTACTGTAATGTAAAGTATTATAACAAGATTTAAATTGTAACTAAATCTCTATTATTATTATTATCATTATTTTAATTACTATTAGTATAATTGTTATTGTCATTATAGTTACTGTTTTCATTATTTCACAATTATCATTATCGTTATTAGTGTCGATCATTATTAGTACTAATTTCAGTATCATATTATTTTAATATTATCGTTATTTTTTTATATAAAGTGGGTCCCAGAAAAATCGAAACCCGAAAACTAACAGTAACTGTGTCAACATCATGAGCTGTATACAAACAAAATCCCTTGCTTTCCATTCAGTAGAAGTAATTTGCTTTCAGGTGATACCTGGGATACCCTTGGGTAACATACACGCTTAATCGCGCAGCATTGTTTTGAAAACACGTCAACATCCATTTGTGCCGTATTTTGGTAAAACAGTAAAACATTATAATCACTTGGGAACATGACTAAAGGGAGTGAAATGGAAATATTGATATGCCAGAATGAAATGGTGTAACAAAGGTGGAATTCATTGAACAGTTTCAGAGGCGTACACAATCATATTTTCCTAAAATCATTAAATAACCCTTGAGCAATGAAAAAGTGCCCCCTTTTCGATTAAAAAAGAAACCCATCGTTGGAGAAAATGACATTCTGATAGTTTATTACTTAGTTCCATAATTATGTACCCATTAGATCATTACCTTGATACCAATATGGTCCACCTTAATTTGAGTCTGGTGGGAATATGTCACCCCCACCGTATATATTCCTTGCTCTCAAGGCAGTTTTGAAAAAATGCAAACATCACCTTTCATGATAATTGCAAACCTAAAGAGGAAAAAATGCCCTTTTTATCCTTACCATCGATTATGTTTTGCTATACATTATTTGATGGTAACATTGGGTCTACTTATGCCTTCATTTGTTTTAGAAAGCACATGAAAACGAGCTTCTCGTTGAGTTTTAAAATATGTGTTTCCTTCAGAAGTTCAGGCCATGTTGGGTGGGACTTTCACGTATTCATAGTCTTACTAAAATCTGACAAAAATGGATTATTACTTGCCATTTTCAATACAACGTTGCTCAGTGGAACGATTGGAATCATTTCACTTCTTCTTTATGAAACACAAGAAAATATATGTACTGAGTTCATAGTTGGGTCGCAATAACCGTTATTTCTGGTTTTGTCTTTTTTCTGAGACGCACTGTATATTTCTTATTATAGAATTCAAAGAGACGGTCACATAGATAAAAGGTAAAGCAAAATATTAAAAAATTGATTATAACCCGAAGGTCTTCTTTCAAATTTATGTGACTTACAAAGCAAAACGACACAGAATTATGAAATACAACATTTTAAAGTAACAAATTACAAGTAAGATATAAACTATTTGAAACAAATGACCTTTCAATATTAAATGGCTGGGGATCGATAATTATGTGGTAACTAGTAATGTCGTTTAGTGTACATGCATATGCATGTAGCATCTGAATTGGAAAGCGAATAGGCAGGCCTATATGCATGTACTCAGCTAGAATTTGGCAAAATGATTTTTTTTTTTCGGCACATACCTTCAAGAATTCATCCATGTTTTCCACTTTTTCTGATCTCCATTTTCCACTCAAGTCCAAAACCATCTTGTCTCTCTATTCTGATTTACACGATCAACGATGAAGAAATATATCGGTTTGCGACTGAATAACTAGTCGTTTAAAAATCTCCGAAATCGGAATAGAAAAAACGATTTCCTCTCTCTGTTCTCCTCCCAGAACTAATAAAGCACGCATTCAAGTTCATAACATACACCAAGCCAACGTCGGATGTTGTTGACTTAACACGTCTGCATAGTCGATACACAATGCCAAAGCTTTGTTCAACATATGTATTTTACAGACGATGCCCAGTCCCCGATTTAGCTATAAATCCCAGATGAGATGGATTTCCAGGATGATGCCTGAAGACATCGGCTAGAGATATGTCTTTGCTGTCCAGTAATTGCTCGTTATGCTGTCAAACGATCTAAACCGGGATGAGATAACGAGCCCAAAGATTCCACACGTGAAGGTACATTGCAGAAGAACGAAGCTCTAACATGAATTTGCAATGAGTTATTGTTCTTCTAGCGTGTGTGAGAGTACTTACGGGACGAGAGCTCTCTCCATCTCTAATTTATGTCAACTCCGGCCGAACATTTGATCGAGCATCGACTTACTACGAGTTGGCTCACGAGCATGAATTTTCTCTCTCTCTCACTCTCTCTCTCTCCCTCTCTCTCTCTGCTTCTTTCTAGCTTTATTCCACTCTCGTTTCTTCCCAGTTTGTTTCGTTAGGCGCGAGAAATAACATGGAGCTGATATGTGTCGCAGGTGAGACAGGGCCAAGCTGGCATCTACTGAGGTTTCTCAGGTTTCCATCGCTTACGAGCTGACAGAAGAAAGAACATTCATCGTATCGCTCAGTGACGACGAATCAGCCTGAGTTTACATTTGTCTAGACTTCCACGTCTCGTTATATTTGCCGATTAATGTAAGGAGCCGTGAGAGCGCCCTATAAACTCGTTCAAGTTGCACTCTTTTTCATCGATTTATTGCCTCGGGCCTTTCCGTTCTCACTGCTACCCAAATAAAACCACTTGAACTTGCCGGTGTTCCAACCGCGCTCCTTATAAATTCAACGAAAGAGGAAAGTTATAGCCGTGAAACCAAAATTGAGGGTTGGACCCCCTTTTTCTATATCTCTATTCCCTCATTCTGTAAAAGTGTATCTAGAGTTCTCTCTACATTGCTTGAGGCAGGTTGTGTTTTGTTAACCCATGAGCACACAAATTGAGCCGAAAGTCTGAATAATTGTAAAGGTGCAAACGTGATTGTGATGCGGTCAAAGTGCAAGGGTGAATGCTTTTCAGAAGTAGCACAATCTCCGAACCAAGTGCTTGTTTTAGAGAAATCCCTCTCTAGCAGGGTGAAGACTGACAAACCGAATGTTCAAGTGACCTTCGGTTTTGACCTCATTTCAAGCAACCAAAACCACCATGATAATTGTCCTTCTCCAGGGGTGTATTATGCCTATTCATCACTTCCTTTTGTTAAACCTCTCTTCCCAAATAGGCTAATAAATTACACCGTAACCTTTCAAATGGACAATTATGCCTTATTCGGTAATCTTTTATTAAAGGGCAATCCAACCTTTGCAAAAGGTTCACTAATTTGTATGAAAGCTGAAAAATAAGGTATATGAATGGCGAAAGTTTGAAATAAATTGGACCAGTTCTGAAAGTTTAAAATATGAGATCCCTAAGACTATCCGGATCTTAAATTGACAGATTGGTCAGTGAATTGTGACGTAGTCGCCGTTAACCCTCCTGTGTGTCGTGTACAAAAATATATCATTAATATATGTTTATCTCCTTAGTGTCTCCTCCCTTGGTTTACTACTCAAAATATGAATAGCATATAATAATATAATATTATATAAGATAATAATAATATAATGATAATATTAATAGGCATTTATATAGCGCCGTCTAGATCAATGTCTTGCCAAATGACATTAGTGCCGGGACGGGACTCGAACCGCGAACCTTTTGAACGACAGTCCAGCGACGTATCTACTCGATCACGACACGTCTACATATCATTATAGGTCATCGAAGAATAGACCCTACTGAGTCATACATATTTTGTGAAAATTGAAATTTTCGTCATTTTTCGTGTTGGAACAAATTGGAAAAAAAAAGGTCGGCAACGACATTCAGTGGCGGATCTAGGGGGGGGGGGGACGGCCCTCCTCTCCTTGGAAAAAAACAGGTAAAAACAAGCTAATGTTACTTTTATTTGTTTTTAAAAAGAAGAAGCTGAAAGATGAAATTAAACAAAATATAATCGGCCTTTTGGGGCTGTTTAGCACTATTTAACCATTATAAATAGATAGAGTGATTGAAAACGCTTAGAGCGTTTGATTTGACCAAGGAGAGTGTAAATCTCCCTGATTTGACCATTCAGGATACCCGTTGGTGATGGATTTTTTTTTTAAATATTGATGAATGTATATAAAATATACATATCATATATCCACAGTCGTTTAAGTGTTTAAGTCTCCGACAGGCGAAAGTGTTGCCGGATGCATGCTGTTTTCGGGTTGTCCGGATGTCCGTTCAGCTTTCTCGTTTTGGCGACATCTCAAAAATCATTTCAGGTATGAAGTTCAAATTTAATTGGTGTTAGTATGTACCACCACAGGGAGACAACTGGGTTAGAGTTTGGGGTAAGCAGATTAAAGGCCTAAGAGGATCATTTTCAAGAAATGTCAGTGTTTTCTTTTAGCTCGTTGTTCCGATGTATCAATTTTCAAGAACCTTTTGACGATGAACTTCAAACTTAGTATTAGTATGCATTAGCATAGGGAGACGAATAGATAAGAAAATATATTGAAGTAAGTACGACAACGGTAAAACGTTCATGTAAAAATATGCATGGCGTTTCAGGTATTTATGCTTGTAATCGTAATATCAAGATACATTTTTGATTCATTAACTTAAAACTTTGTGTTATACGCATCACCACAAAGATACGAACTTATTAGATTTTGTGTTAAAAAGGTCAAAGGGCATAAATCGGAGAGGTAAATAAAACGATTTTTTTTTTTTTTTTTTTTTTTTTTTGGGGGGGGGGGTTTGCCTTGTTCTCAATATCCCTATATCACTATTCATACTTGAACTGTTAAATCTATTACATACTCGTATGCCTCACGATTTAGGGGACCTAAGTTAAAAAGTTGTAGGCCATTGGTCACGAAGGTCAATTTACACAACATGATAGGGTTATGTTCTCTCGTTAGTAAGCCACGAACTTCACTGAATGTTATGCGGTTGTACGTATGAGGTGCAGTCGCATGCAATTTTTTCTGAACTGTTTTCGGTTTCCCCATTCAAAGCAACTTGCCGTCAGGGCAGGGCACTTTCGAGCCATCAATTTAATTTTCTCATTGGATTCATCAGTGATTCAGATATTAGTATGTTATCATGATAAGTGATGGTTGCCAATAAAGCCAAGCGATACACCGACCCTCTGGGGGCACGTGCGTGCCAAAATTAGGAGTCCGGCAGACAGCGACCTAGTTACCGTGATGGCACGCCGCGGAATGTGATGCCGTCCAAAGACTGGTGAGATGTACGTACCCCATATCACGACAGGTTTATCATCACTCAGGCTAACCCTTCTCCCGACGTATAATGATGGACTATATTTGACACAACGAATGCCAAGGTGAATTAGGGTTGGCCCTTGTCATTCTGTATTTGTTAATGTGTTAAACTGGTTTGTGTCCTGGCAGTCATGACAGATTGAGGATTAGCGTGTGGCAGCAGCAGGGGCGCGTAGATGCGTCGTATGGTGAAGGATTACATGCAAAAGAGAGAAACGGGGTCTTCATCATGACAGCACAGTGGCGGATCCAGGGGGGGGGCCCGGGGGCCCGGGCCCCCCCCTTGAGAAAAAAATCATGTAAAATCACGTGATTTTTACGATTTTTAGGGGGGGGGGTGCAAATTGAAATTTTTTTGAGGATCAAAAAAAAAAAAAGTGCTCAACCCCCCCCCCCCCCCCCCCCCACCCACTGAGCGACTTTTCGACCGGCGCGATTTTCAAATTTTCGGGAGCAAAAAAAAAAAAAAAAAAAAAAAAAAATATTGTGCTCTGTACCCCCCCCCCCCCCCCCCCCCCCCCCCCCACTCAGCGACTTTTCGGCCGGCGCGATTTTCAAATTTTCGGGAGCAAAAAAAAAAAAAGTTGGGCCCCCTCCCCTAAGAAATCCTGGATCCGCGCCTGTGACAGCATGCCCCCCCCCCCCCTGCTCTAAACGCAAACAGACACTAAGACATCGTGCTTAAAAAAGGCACACACAGAAACAAAGCAAACAAGTAAACGAAATAAACCTCTGAAACAGGAAACGCCAAAGAGGACAGTCCACACCCAAACATCATCGCCACTGCCACGAATACCGATCCGACATCATTGTAACGGGTTGGGGGCGGGGGAGACGTAGTGTAACCTAGGTGGGAATCCATTTATTTCAGCACTGCTGCAAAACTTATGTGCCCTAGTTCGACGTACATGTTTGTTCCATGCTCTAATTCCAGTATGTACCCCCCCCCCCCCACTTAGGGGCGGATGAACTGTGGTAGCATTCAAGCTGACCGTACAAGGAATGTGGTTAAATGGTATTTTCTTCATCTATATTCCCCATTGTGACAAATATCAACGTGACGAAATGCATGCTATTGAAGCTTCTACCTTCTATCTATCTGTTATATGATTGTATTATAATTAGTTAGGGAGGGGCACACTGCATCGCTCGCGCCCGCCTACCCAAATCTGCCATTCCCGGAATACAAATTAAAATACGCAGCCCTGTGTGCCCTACCAACTCCCCCCCCCCCCCCCCCCCCACTGCCCTCTCTGTAACAGAACACATTCCCACATTTTCAGGGCTTCATTTGTTTGTTTTTGTATTATTCTAAATGTTTTGCTTGCCAGTGCTCAGTGCTCTCAAATGTCAAAACCTGTTGAATTTTTATTTTCACGTCAGCACCCCCCCCCCCCCCCCGCCGCTTTAAGAGAGTATGATCTCTTTAATAAGCGGATTTTATTAGGGCTCATAAGAAGTGCAATTGATCCGGATTGATCGATCGCGAGTCCTTCAATGAATCGCAATCTTACAAACGCATATCTCTTGATATCATACCCCTCTCTAATCATGCTTTTAGAGGACGGCAAGAAATAATAATTGTTCTTAACGTTGTACGCATTAGTAGTAGGAGCAGAACAGTCAGAGCAACATATCGGTAAAAAGTTTGAGATAAAGTGCTCAAAGAATGCGCAAGATATAAAATGTTTTTTCCCCCTTCTCTACTGTATACGAGATTAAGTTGTACTTGGGTAATCTTACATACCATCTACATTAGACTGAGGAATCTGAATGATCATGCATGCAGAGTTAGCAATCTATCATGGTCGGGCATGTAAAATATGCCATCCACAATAAAACATCGTGTTGGGTTATTTAGGGGTACATACAAGTAATAGTTTTATCGATTCATGTAAACAAAATCAAACTTCTCCTGCCAGTTGTCTAGACTTCAAAATGTACACTTTTCCCCCCTTTTTCTGCGAAACACTATGATCTCTTTTTTTGTTGTCTGAATCTTTGTGTGTTATTGTTTGTTTGATCAACAGTTCTGATTCATGAGTATCGAAAGTCAATAGTCTTGTTCAGACGGAGAAAAGTTACCCTAGGGTAAAGGTCGTGTTGAGAGCTAGTCGAGGTAAATATGGCGGGGTATATGGCGGGCCAAGCATGGGGGGGGGGCTACACGCCTGGCAAGAGGGACCCCATGTCATGCACACTGCAAAATTGCGTGCCCCCCGCCCCTTTCCCGGTTAAAAAACACCTTCTTATAACATCATCGCCCTTTCT